CCTGTCAAAAACAGGCCCTAGCTAGTGCCTCTGGTTTATTCATTGGTATTATTCATTATTCTAACAAGTATCCTGGTCTGTGCTCCACATAGACCAAGTCTAAACACATCCCCTCTTCCCTCGCTCTCTCCCTCCCCGACTCCCACGAGCCTATGACACAGGATTAGCCACATACATACCCAGCAGGAGATAATTCATCCAGAGCCGGGGCCTTTGCCTGGAAATACAGACATCACAAATATATGACATGCAAGTAGCCCCAGTCGTCAAAGAGCTTCCCTGTGCCAAGACGGCCGCCATTCCTGTCTCCAGCAGACTGCTATGACCAGCATCGGAGCACTTGAAGGTGTTGGAGAAGCAGAGGGAAAGGACGCATGCATGTTGGTTTGTTGGACCAGAAGTTCTCCCAAGGACCTAAGCCATCCAGCTCACCAGTGGGTTCCACCCCAGCAGGTTTTCTGCCCTAAATCAGGCACTCACTTCGTGTGCAGGCATGGTGGGGGAGGGGAGCCCCCAGAAGACAGCTAAGGCAGGGCTTGGAGGATTGAAAGCCGGAGATGAGAGGCACCTTCTGGAGAAAAATACAGGGACAGCTGCAGAAATAGATTCTGTGCAGATGAACGTAGGACGTGGATGCAACATTAATGCTGAAATTGATTCCTAAAGGTTACCAGCATTTCAGTTCGTGGCTATACATTGTTGAGTCGATAGAGTCAGCTTCTAACATTTGTTAACTTGGGCAGTGGAAGCATGAGGTGAGGTTCAAGGTCCTGGGGCAGCTGTGTGGCCTCCTGCTGTGGCAGATTGGAGAAACTTCCCTAATGCAGTGCCAGTGTTTCTAGAGGTCGAGAAAAACCTCTGGACCCTTAGTAAAACTCTTTAGTTGAGGCCACAGATGGGTGTGTGGCTGTCAGTGCTGTGGAAGGGCCACTTCCCTCCAGGATGGCTGGAGGTGTCATTCTAAAACACCCGCCATTCAGAACTGTCCCAATTAGGGAGGGGCTGTTCTGCGGAATTTCCTAAACACTGCCACAAGGAATTCTCCCCAGGGCTCTGTGAGAATCCTAACCCTTCCCAGCCTGCTTTATTCTTCTTCCTAAATTTGGGTCTTTGAGCTCAAGGTCCAACTCTGGTCTTTCCTTCTTGCTCATATCCTAATAATTACGCTGGAGCCTGGTGCACAGCAAAGGTAAACTAAAGTATGAAAGTGCCCCACTTATGTCACACACCCCACTTCTGTTACTGACCTGGAGCTGTTATTTGACCTTTTTATTTAAAACTACTTACCGGAGTTCTGTGGGTGTCATTTCTGTCTCCTGTACCTGTGCCTCAATTGCTGTACTTGTAAGCTGTACCCTGGAAAGCCAAAAATCTGATTATCAGCAGAAGCTTTATGTGTATGGTACATGACAACAGTAGACTCGGGCCTGTCCCCTGTCCACGTGTGGCCCTCTCCGGACCAGCCTTCACTGTCTTACTATAACAAATGGCAGCAGTTACACCGAGGCAGCTACCTTCACATTACAGGGTTATTTAGGAGACTCTAATGAGATTCTACATTGGTAGCAACCTTTGCAAATGTAAGTCAGGTAAACTTGTAAGGAACTACTGCGTTAATTTTTAGTTTTGAGATTCCTGTAAGCGTTTGAGTCTCAAATCAGCATGTTAGACAGAGAGTTGCTAAAATCCCAAGACTTTCAAAACACCCAAGTCAGAGAAGTGTGGATGATGTCCCTTGAATTTCAGAAACTGAGAGTTTATTTCCATAACTTACCTCTTTGCTAGTTTCTAAATTTTTCTTGCCCCTGCAATTAATACTCCGGGGTAAATCTCTGTGGAATTGAGGCAGGAATAACTCCATGTTTGTTAGTCAGGAAAATCAAGACTAAGCTGCGGTAACAGGTATACCCTGCAGTCCCAGTGACCTAGCTCACCAAAGCTTTATTTCTCACTCACATAAAATGCAATGCCACTCACAGGGAAGGGGAGCCTCACACTGACTCTGAGGTCTGCGTCCTCTTTGTGTGTGAGACAAAGCTTGCAAAGTTGCTTCACGGAAGGAAGAGGAAGGGAAAGAAGCTCAGAGCTCTGGCCTGGCGTAAGTGACACTGAAAGGTTTGGCCCAGACAGGACACTGTAGCCAGGAAAGCCACAACCGGAAGCAGGAAGCCCCATCTTGCCCTGCCCCTAGGAAGTTACCTGTGACGCCATCTTCCCGCCCCTGGGAATTTACATATGGCGCCAAACCTAGGACCAATGGGCTACCTGTGTATCCCTAATGCCCGCCTTAGGTTCCACCCCAAACCGAGGTTATTTACAGGCCCCCACGCCGCGTGTCCGCCGGAGAGATCGCCGGACGCCAGCGGTGGGGGTTGCCGGTCATCTCTCTCCGTGTTCTCAGAATAAAGGCCGCTTTTTATTTTATATTTCTCATCTTTTGTTAATATTTTTCATCTTTTGGAAATAACTCTATCAGACACATGCCATTTCAACTCAGTCTGCTGACCTAATGATACAACCCAACCCAACTTCAAAAAATGAAAAAGGAAAATCTAGAGGCACCAATGAAATAGTTTTCAAGGGTCAACTTTTTTGTAACACAATGCCGTCACCCCAACAAAAGTCATTGCACGTTATGATTCAGAGCCTCTTCTGAGTTTGGGGCTGTACGATATACACACAGAGGACAGACACATGGTCTGACCTCGCCGGAGGCATTCGGAAGCAGAAAAGTGAGAGCATTTGGCCACGATCTGGTTTTGCAATCTACTTTTTTCACTTTGATTATTATTTATTCTTTTACTTCAATCATGCTATTTCCAAGGATGCCAAAGTTTTTCTTACAAGATGTAGCCCCTGGCCACGCCGACAGCTCTGTGATTCTCCCTGGGGAAGAGACAGTGCCTGTCTTTCTCCTGCTCAAGTCTGCTGGCTCAGGATCCCCTGGGGCTTAGGCTAAGAGGAGGCCACTAAGAGGGAAGGACATCCAGAACTTCCAGCCGGGCTTGTTTGGATTGGCACAGTCTCTGTAAGCAACCCTGACCCCAGAGCTGCTGGAAAATGTGCTTATCACCCTAGGGGGTGGAGCGGGAGGGAGAAGGTCCCAGCTGATAGAATCCGAGTGACAGCTAATGGAAACATGGAGCTCAGCCTTCCAGTAGGGCAGTAGGAGGAGAGAGGGGACCAGCTTCAGGGTGTGGGCAAGCTGTAGTATTCTCTCTGCTGTCCTAGCGAGAGAGGGGCCATCACTGTTACTCATCACAGGGTGGATGGGGGGAAATACATGTAGTCGCATTTCTTTCTTTACCATTTTCTCACGAGAGTCCTTTCCCGCCATCTCGGGATTTCCCAGCAGTCTAAAGGAAAGAGTATTTTAACGTCTGCCAAAACCTGCCACTAATCTCTGGTTGGCTTTCTTCAGCATGGCTTGCTCTTTTGACACAGAGTAGCATGCCTTGATTCTCTTTACCACACTTGACAGTTAGACTGGTTAGCATCAACAGCCATGCCACGACCTCCGTCTCACGTTGCCCTACATCTCAAGAGCCAGAAAGCCAAAATGTACATTCCCTGGTCTGCCTTGCTGTTCAGTAGGGTGCAGTATAGAATTCGCCAACTCACTGTGCCTTCGGGAAGCATTTATAAAGACAACTGTCCTTCTGCAGTTCTGCTGGGGGCTGCCACACACTCCCACCAAATGGGAACTCTCCAATGTGCCTGGGGACCAGACTGGGTCCGCAGGGCAGCTGTGATGGGGAGGGTGGTTTCCTGCACCTTCCTGAACTGTGGTGTCAGCTGCTAGACCAGCCCTGAAGCCCATCGATGACTCTGGGTCTTTGACTTCCCTGCATCCTTCATGCAATTTCACAACCATGTATCCCTGTTTTCAGCCCTGTTCTCCACAATTTGTTTGGGTTGCTCTAACGAAACACCATAAACACAGTGGTTTATGAGCCACATGCTTTTATTTTTGTTTCTCACAGTTCTGAAGGCTGGGAAAACCAAGTTCAAAGTGCTTGCAGAGTCAGTGTCCAGTGGGAATGATAGATGGCACTTTCTAGAAGCATCCTCCAATGATGGAAAAGCTGGGGGGGGTCTCTCTTGGGCTTCATTTGCAATAACATTAATCCCACTCACCAGGGCTTCCTCCCAGGACCCATTTGCCTCCAAAGACCCCATGTCCTGTTATTGCCGGGGGAGAGGGGAATTTGGGGGCACACAAGCATTCGGACCATAGCAAACACCAGAGCGGCTTCTGCTCCTTGCTTTGTACCTGACTTTCTATGCAGGGTTTCTACGCACCACCTCACTCGGACACGCACCAACTCTGCAGCCTGCCCAAGCCACTCACTAAGGGATGGAGCCAGCGTGTGTCCCTAAGACCCAGGATCTTATCTCTGTCCCATGCTGCCTCCTTCCTTATCCCTTAAGAGCCAAATCAAGGCTCACCTTGTCCCCATTCCTCCATTCCAGATGGAGGTCCGTCCCACTCCGCTTTTTGTTGGCTCATCCTGCCTAACAGTGATATTTAATTTTCTCCTCTAATCTTCACCCCACAAAATGAAAGTGGGCTTCTATGGGCAAGAAAAATGCTTTCTCATGTGTATTCTTAGTATTTGTTGGATGGCACTGTGCTAACCCACAGGACATAAGAACAATTCGGAAGGGAAAGGCCTGACCTTCAAGTTAGGCTGATACTTCTCCTCCAAACCAAAGAACTCAGTGGCCACGGGGCAACTACAGGCATTTCGGGGAGATAGGAATACACCTTCTGCAGGGAGGAGAATTGCTATTACCTAAGAAATGGGAGAGGAGGAGGAGGAGGAGGAGGGGGGGGGAGGAGGAGGAGGAGGTGGAGGAGGAGGAGGAGGAGGGGGAGGAGACAGGAACAGCCTAGGATTCCTCACCCAGGGTTCTCTGGACTTTCTTCTTTGCTGTTTGATCATTTTTTGCTTCATTTTCTATGACTCCTATAGTCTCCTTCTGCTATCACTTTACAGAAGACATTGAAGGTCTCCCTCCTCCAATGTACCCATGTGCAGCTGGGCTGGAGGAACCAGATCCCAGAGCAAAGTTCTCAGCTGTGCATACCACCAGCTTTTCACAGAGGGACACTTCAAAGTCATTTCCAAAAGTTAACTTAAAGGAAGCTTGCCAATCTGGAACCTGGCTGTGGGATCCAGCGCACATTTGACTTCTTTCTCATCCGAAGAGCTGAGTTCAAAGTCTTGGAGCAGCTGTAGCCACCGGGTGGAGGACACGACATTGGGACTTGGTGGTGAGCATCTAGATTTGCAATTGGAAAAACTTTAAGAGGTAAAATTAGATTTTCTTAAATTCTATTTTATGCCTTTTCCCATGATCTCTAAAATTTTGATACTCTTTCTAGATTTTTGGTTCTTGAGGGACTTTTGTAAGCACCAGTAAAGACGCCAGCTAAGGCTTCATATTGAAAAGATCAGGGAGGAGGACAACTGGAGGATAAAAATAGAATGGGAAAAAGCAGAGGGAGAGTGTTGGATGGGAGGAGATGGGTGAGGAGCGGAGCGAGGCAGAGGAACCAAGGAGAGGAGAGCCATCGTGAAGAAATCTCTGCAGCGAGCAGAACCTTATTTAAGGCCAACCTCAATGCCGGATTTGACACTCTTACAGAAGTTATTGTTCAGAGTCTTCGTTTTACACAAATCACCCAGTAAATCATTTATAATAATTTGTGATTGTCTCCAGTGAGTGCTTGACCTCACAAATGCCCATCCATCAGTCACTGCTGTGTGTGATCTCTAGACCAGCACCAGTGCTGGCTGCAAACCTGTGAGAAATGCAGACTCCCGGGCCCCGCTCTGGCCCTGCCAATTTGGCATCTGCATTCTACTAAGATCTCCTTAGATGTAGAGATTTAGAAGCCCCGCCCCACAACCCCAGAAATGAGCACACCAAAAAGAGTGGCAGGCAGTGAGGGCTGAGTGAAGCTCTGGTGAACTGCTATGAGATGAGTGTGTTTAGCTCTGTCCTTTGGGAGATTAATTGAAGATTAGGTGATAGATGAGCTGGTAGTAGACTCATGAGTGTTGCCCTACAACAAAACAGGGAAATGTGGTTAAACCTCAGCTACTGGTTCTCAAAGCTTAGGGTGCCATAGCATCACCTAGAGAGCTCATTAAGACACTGATTTCTGGGCCTGACCTGCCCTCCAATATTTCTGGTTCACTAAGTCCAGCATGGGCCTAAAAACATGCCTGGCTCCCTAGCTGCTAGGTACTGCTGATGGTGTTGGTCCGGCCAGGACACTTTGAGAACAACTGCTCAGAGCAATGAAGATACTCTGATAAAAAAGAAAAAATCTTTCTTCTACAAATTACTTGGGATAATTATGGTCTCAAATCCCCCATTGCATCTGTCATCAGTGACCAGGCCACTTCATAGTGACTTCCAGAAAGAGCCCCTCGTGGGAAGGCGCCGATGCGCTTCGGGCAGCTGCATTGGGCTGGAAGCTAATTAGGAGGAAGGCTGGACAGGTCCTGCTTTCCCAAGCCTGTTACCCAATGTACACAGACAGTGGGCTGTGCAGGGAAATTACACAGATGAGACCCAGAAGCTGCCATTTCACCAGGGAAGGTTCTGCCTTTTCATTACGAGGGAAAGCTAACATTTCCCATCTTTCCCTCCACCAAAAGTAGGCAAGCATAAAACCAAAGTCAATTTCTTACAATTTAGTAACCTCAGAACCAGCCAATTATATTCTGGGACATGAGAAACAGCTGTTGTAACATTAGAGCTTGGACGGTTTCATCTCAGCTATTTAAGGGGATAAAAGAGCCAATATTTTCATTCCCTTGTGATATTATCAAGACATGATAAACAACCAAGACTATAGTATTAATTACACTAATTTAGAGAGGAGAGAGACCATTTTAATTGCTCCAAGCTGCAGAATAATTTTTTATGGGGAGACAATCATTCATAAATTCACATTAGATAGAGTACTTTGTCTCCTTCTATCAACAGCAGAACTCCTGGAAGCAAAAGGCAACCACGATCCCTATTTAAGGTGGACTTCAGTAGGAGAATTAATTTCTCATGTCATATGTATGTACATGTTGTAGAACTCTGCCCTGTTGAGTTGTTTGATTTTAAACAAAGAAACGCAAAGAAAGTATTTGTCTTGAGAGAGTTCCTGATCAAAGCAGAAATTAGTGCTGACACAGCTAGATTTAAACACTTTCTTATATATCAAACAGGTACTGGTGCATTAGTTAACAATGGTGGGACACACTTGGAATTCCAGCTGTTTGGGAAGCTGAGACAGGAGGATCACCAGTGTTGTGGCTTGTATCTAGATGCCACCCCTCTCCAAAATCTCATGCAGTCATGAGTGAGATTTTGGGAGGTGGCTGGATCTGGGATGTGGGGCGATGGAATTAAGCAGGCCGTGCTAGGATTAAGGGTGTGAGTGCTACCTGCCCAATGGTGGGTAGCCTAGATAAAACACGAGGGACAGAAAGAGGCTTGACCCAGGCTGTTTCTTACTCCCTTGCTGCCTGTTCTGTGACCCGCCCTGCCATGCCACCCGGCCTGGGAGCCAGCCAACTATGAACTGAAACCTCTCCAAACTGTGAACTAATTAAACCTTTCCTTTCACTTCGGGTGTTGGGTATTTTGTTTGGGCAATGAGGAAAATAACCAAGACAACAAGTTCAAAGCCAACCTGGGAGTGCTAGTGGGACCCCCCCACTTCATCTCAAAACAAAAAATGAATCAGTAAAAAGAGATAAGAATATAGCTCATAGCAGAGTACCTCTGGGTTCAGTCCCAATACCACTAAAAAAAAAAAAAACCTGTAATCACAGCAGGCAGGGGTGAGGTAGGAGGATCACCTCACATTTGAGGCCATCTTGGGGTTCATCATGAGTCCTGTCCCCCCAAAAAGCATATACTGCCTCTCCATGGTTAAGAAGACCAATCAAATGATGGACATCAAAATTAAAATGCTTTATTAACTGTAACAACCTACAAAAGCAGAAGAGAAAGGGAAACTTATCATTTACTGAGTGCTTTCTACACTTAGTTAAGTCTTGATCCTATTTTAAGATTCACAAGAAACTTTAGAAAGAAAACAACATATAAAAGAAAATGCAATGACTATGGAATGAGATGCCAATGTTGTCTGTGTGACAACCACTCCGATAAAATTGTATGACTTTCCTTTCTTTAAGACAGAGTCTTGCCGTGTAGTCAAGGCTGGCCTAGCTCACACTCAGCCTTCCGCCTCAGCCTCCCAAATGCTGGGGTTACAGTATGCACCACCACAGCTGGCCATTGTGGCTCACACTGAGTACCATTACATGGTATGCTGCAGACAGACTCTCCCTCTCACCTACAGAACACGCAGTCTATGTTTGGTTACCTGACAGCCTAGTCTGTAAAGGCTCCTAGGGTTAGAAGCTATGTTTGCTTCCAGTGGTTGGGTTAGGAGGGTTGTGTGAAGCTACCTTGGAGAATTCAAGATCTTCCGGGAAATGTCTTTGAAGATCCGGGAAATGTCTTTGAAGAGCTGTTGGATGTTGCAAGCACTGGTGTGGCTTTCAGCTACACACTTGTAATCCCAGCCCACAGTGGCTTGGTCCAGCATTCCAGAAGTACTCATTCTGGAAACTCTCTATCAACGTTGTTAACGAAGTCAGGTTTGCCAGGCATCCCACAGGGGTACGTACATGTGCCACAGTGATGATAGAGCACTGGTAGGGACCAGATCATCCCTCCCTTTTAGCACTCTGAGAACTGGATTGGAGGACAAATCAATTCAGTATGGCACCACCAGCAGGGCTTACACCAAGGAAGGAGGGACTGGGCGAAATCACAAGAATGTACCCTGAGATTATGCACTCCCCACTAGCTAGGACCTGGGGGCACTGCTATAAATGGGGAGCACCCAGGAGAGTATGAAAACTCTGAATATTGGGCTAGGGATTTAGCTCAGCGGCATAAGCACCTGCCTTGCAAGTAGGCGGTCGCGAGTTCGATCCCCAGTACCGATAAAAAAAAAAAAAAAAGATTTCTGATACAAACAGTAATTGAAAACTCTGAATATTGTGAAGTTCTGACCCATCGAATTCCTTTTGATGTAGAAATAGTTTCCTAAAGTTAATGTCCAATGGGGAAATTGAGTAAAATGTGAAGCAATAATATGAACATGAAAGATCATGCAGGAGAACTGTCTGTATCAATCAAGACCAATGCTTAAACACACCATCGGGAGAGAATTTCAATCACAAAACTGCATTGTTCAATGTGATCTCACGTTTATTTAAAAATGTACAAACACAAGTACAGTGTGGAGGTGTATATGTGGGGATGTTGAGTTTGAGTTCGTTTGATAATAGCTATAGGCCTTCTCATTTTCACCTTGCTTATCTATGCTTCCTGAATTTTCTACAGAACCATATAACTTGTAAGAATAATTTTTTTCAGTGTTATTTTTCTTACTACTGGGATAATATTAAGTAATATTCATTGAAAGTGTACTGCTACGTGTAGTGTTTTTGCCTCTGTTAGGTCATTTTTTCCTCCCATTATTTATGCAGTTTTCTTAAATGGAACAAAGCTTCATTTCAAGGAAGCAAAGGAATTAACATTAAATGTAGAACTTTGTGTGTTCTTTCCACTGCTCCTTGGAATGTGGAACTTAGGCTTTCCCCAACTCCTTCCAAGAGGCTTCATTTTGGAAACAGGCAGTAAATTACAGAAAGGATGAGTTGGGGAGGAGGATCCCAGCATAGATAAGATAGTGACTAAAGATACAGCGGAAGTTCCTTCCTGTTCCAGAATCCATATTATCTTGGCCAAAAGAATCCTCATCTAAGTGAAGGCGCATAGCTGTTATATGGATACTGCTAAAACTGCTTCAAAGAAATATCTTTGTTTTAGTTGAAAGATACAAAGAGGGATGAAATAGAGTTGAGGAGAAAAGCTGGACACTCTGCAGTCCTGGACCCGAAACTGGACCCCAGACCAATAGATCTTATAAGAGACCTCGAGCATGTCCATACCAAAGATCCCCACAAAGTGCCATTTATCACTGTTGTATGATGACCTTGGATGCCATGGGACAACTATCCCCCCAGAATTAATCTTGGATTGTTGTTGTTGTCAACCAACATTTACTTATTTTTTACTTTGTGTGAGTGTGTGTGTGCAAGTGTGTTTGTGTATGTGTGTGCATGTGTATGTGTGCGTGTGTGTGTTTGAAGAAGGCTCTTCCTCTGTAGTTCAGGCTGACCTTCAACTCACTTGGCAGCTCGAGCTGGCTTCCAACGTGTGGAGATCCTTCTGCCTTGTCCTCTTAAAGCGCTGGGATTACATTGTACACTGCCACAGCCAGCTTTCTTATTAAGTAATTTTTAAAAGCTTAATTGTCATAAAGACTCACATCAGTGGAGATGAAGCCATCCGCGACCCAGCCAGCATCCTACCTTTGTTCCTCACTAACGCAATACAAATTTTGTTTGGGTGCCGAGCAGCATCTCCCTGGAATACAGAGGCTCAGCTGTGATGGATTATTTTCAGCCCCTGAGGATGGAGGTTTGGGGACAATTTTCCTCTTTGATAAGAAAGCATACGACCTGAACAGAAGGGGCTGTGGCTCCCCTCCCTTGATGCTTTTGGTTTAGGTTATGTGGGAACAAGAAGCATGGGGAGGCTGGGCCATTAGCAAAGACGTGATGACCACGGCAAGAATCACAAAATGAGAATTTTCCAAACCTTAGCCTCGTAATGACATCATTGCCTGCTGCATCCACCACGCCTATCCCTGGACACCTGTCAAGTGGTGAGCTAGTGGGAACGCCTTTTGCTGAAGCCCCTTTTAGTGGAAGTATGCTGTTATTTGCTTTATAAACCAGCTGGAGAAAGAAAAGCAAGTGTGATTCTGTCTTTATTATCATATCTTGTTAATCTATTTTTTAATGCTCTTTATAACCATTTCAGCCACCAAATTGGAAACTAAAACTTATGTCACTTAGCATTTGCCTGCAGACACAGAAAGTAGTCCCTGCAGGAGGACAAGAAATGCAATGGAGCTGCCTGGCGCTAGTCGTGTTTTGTTTGTCGTCTGGGTGGTTGGACACATGCCTGCAGCTGGAGGAAGGGGAAGAGGAAAGAGGAAGATGATCTTTTTTTCTGCAGTCCTGAGGTGGTTCCACTGCTGCTGAGTCACTCTGGGACTTCTCAGTTGTTAGAAGAAAGCAAGCAACACAGCTCCTACAGGGTAAAACAAACTGTCGTGGACCGTATAGTTTATGGTGAATTTCATCAGTTCTGGTCTCCAAGAGAAGCCTGTATTCTAGGAGATCTAAAGTGGGAAGCACTTTATTGATGGCATTGACCATAAAGCCAGAGAGCCTGCGCACAGACAGCTGTGGGCCGTGGCAGCTGCCACCAGAGCCCTCCCATGCAGGCAGCCTGGAGCAGCGAGGGAGGGATGGACACCAGGGATGGATGCTGGCTGCTTAGCCGGGCCGCCTGGTCACTGCAGGGACATCACCCAGGGAACGCTAAGCCTTCTCCCTGGAACCAGCCGGATTGCATACTTGGGTGAGGAATTTAGCCTTGAAAACAAGTTCCAGCCAGTAGTAAACCTGCTGAGAATAAGGCGAAAGGGCTTACAGAAATAATATAGCAATTCCAAACGTGTGCCTCCCTTTACTGATTACAAGCAGCCCTGAAATACAAATGAAAACCAATTTATTCTAAAGAAACTCCCATGTTCCTATTGGCCTGTATATTTCAAAGGTGATTTATCAGGCTGCTTAATTCTCAGGTGGTATTTGTCTCCAAACTTAATTTTTTTTCTACTCTTTTCCTGCCCCCCAACCTCCACCCTGATTCAATTTACATTACTTTGCATTGCTAAAGAGATTCACCAGCTCCTCCATGTATTTGTAGTTTTAGTGTTCATATATTTAATGAGCACTTACAGTATATCAGGCATGGTGTGCAAGGACCAGCCTGGTCTTCATGAAGTCGATGTTCCTACTGAGAGTTCCATACTGTTAGTAGTATGCTACATTATACATAATCTTAAAGGGATTTTTAAAAAGGACACCCGGGTGCAAAGCAGGAAATTATGCCCGTGGGCATCACGAATAGTCTTCCTTCCATCAGCAGTGGAATGAGGGAGGAACACTGTCCCTAGTGAGGTACAGACCATGTGTGGGGATGGACCACAGTCCTCCAGTCCTTCCTCCAACCCAAGGAAGCCTCACGTCAAGCAGATCTCTTTCCAGCACTCATAACCCTGGCCAACATGACCTACTGTCAGATTTCAATCAGCCAGTGTCTTAAAGCAAGACTCGGCTTAGACAGTACATGGACGGAGCCTCATCGATCTGAAAGTCAAATTCCTACCTGACATGAAGAGATCCAGGGCTCCCAGCTGCTTTCTCTTCCAGTAAGAGAAAAAAAATCTCAGGGTGACTCAAACTGACAGAGGATCTGTCCCATTCGGTGTTGCATTTGTGATGTGCCTGACAGCCATACAAATACATGCGCACTACATGCACAAGAGTGTACGACAGGACTCCTCTCATATAGACTGGAAATCAGTTCATGAGATAGACAAACACAACAGAGAGACTAGCACTGTGACCGCTGGCCTTGCTGTCCAGAAACCCTCCCTGGCTGTGTCCAGCAGGTCAGCCTGAGTGCCACCAGGCAAAGGATGGAAGGGCATCGTGGATGACAAGCCTGGGGGACCAAGGACGCGAGACCCCAGCTTGTGTGCAGAAGGAACTTGCTTGAGGCTGCCAGAAGGTGACTGGAGAGCATCTACATTAAGGTGTAAGCAGACCGAACTGGGCTGTGGTGGGACTCTTCAGGTGGGGCGAGGAACTCAGAGATGCACCAGCCTTGTGTAAGGTGGTGTCTGAATATCACTAAGTGGGGGACAAGGAAGGAAGTGTAATTTTTCTTGATACAGCAATGCACAACACAAGCATCTATTTGGGAATGTTCCCCTCTGCAACCCTATCAGCTATTCAGCCCCACACACATCGCTCCCTCCAGGCAGGACAGAGAAACAGGGACCTCTTGCACTGTCACTGAGAACAGGAACCCGCCTTCCAGGCTGTCCCCTTCCCACCAGGCAGCCGGGTCAAACACAGCCGGTGGCCAGGGAGTCCTGTTTAATTCAAGCAGGAAGAGCAAATGTACTTGGTGGTTTGGCTCTCAGGGACCCTGGTGGAGGTACAACCCACTCCTCCTGCTCTGTCTCCTGAAAAGCAAGGAGCCAGGAGAGAAAGTCGGGAAATGATTGCCCTCTCCTCCGTGAGCCCAACTCCCAAGGCCAGGATAGGCTGAGTGGGAACGGACTGCCGAGTCTCTGGAGGTGAGCCCGAGGCAGGCCCACCGCAGGTCAGCCCATCGGGTTCCAGCAGGGACAGGGCAGAGTCCGGGGTCCTAGTTCCATTACCTTTCTGACAGCATTTTTCTTTTGTCTTTTTCAGTACCAGGGATCGAACTCACAACTGCCTGCTTGCAAGGCAGGCGCTTATGCCACTGAGCTAAATCCCCAGCCCCTTCTGACAGCATTTTTAAGAGCTTTTTCTTTTCTTTGTATTGGTGTGCAGTACGTAATGATTGCGTGGCTCATGTGGAGTTGGCACACTCACGCACACAGTGTCTAATTTGTTTTCATGTCCGCCCCCCCCCATTCCCCGCCCTCCTTCTCTTGGTCCCCTGCCCTTCTGTAAAAGGTCTATCTCTGTGTTTCTGATTACCTTCTTTTGTTTTGCTGTTTCTTTTTACTTTAGGTTTCTTAAAGAAAAATCAGGTGATACTGAAGCTCGCGTGTCCGACCCATTTCACTTCACAGGACGGTCTCAAGGTGCATCCGCTTTCCTACGGATGACTCGAGTGGGTCCTTGACAGCAGCCTTGGAAACGGCAGTGGCTATGATCACAAGGACAGCCAGAGTGGAGAAAGACCCCGAGTGACTGTCAGGGGACCCAGTCACAAGTAATGTCCACCAGCGGGCTGGTCCATTAGCATGTTGGTTTAGTTGCTCATTCATTACTGCAGATTGGTGCTACGCAGTGGATGAGGGCCAGCGTCCTGGTCACTTCCTCAGAAACACAGATTCCTGGGCTCTCTGCACCTCCTGTGGTAGGGAGTTCCTAAGAAGAGGCAGCAGTGATCGGATGTCAGTTCTGAGAGGCAGTGACACAAAGACCCAGGTATGGCCTTGGCTGGCCTTTCACTTGCTATGAAGGATGCCAGCTGCAACTGTGGACAGCCTTCTGGGAGGTCCACGTGATAAGGAGCTGATGCCTTCCGTCAAGTCCTGCCTGACTGCTCAAGGCCTTGGGCCCCGTGAAACCCCTGACATCCACATTGGAGCCTTGTGAGAGACTCAGTGGTGACCCACAGAAGCTGGGTGGTCAGGAATGTTTGTTGTTTGAACCCTCTATTTTGAGATTAATTTGTTATGCAGCATTGGGTAGCTAATACAACTACTGCATCAGAAACTCTGCAAGTGGGGCCAGGAATGGATATTTTAACATGTTTTCCAGGTGATTCCTATGCACAATTTCAGAGGCATTTTATACCCAAACTCAAAGCAAAAGCTTTTGAGTCAAACTCTAGGGTTCAAATCCCAGTTGGGTCAATTCCCAGCCCCAAGGGCTTGAGTGGTAACTGACCTCTCTGAGCTTTCATTTCTTCTGTAAAATGTCACTTATTTACACCAGTATGTACTTCAGGGCTGTGAAAAGCACTCACTGGATTATCATATTTAAAACAGTGCATCGCCTGTCAACGGTGAGCACAGTACATTTAGCAATGATGAAGTCACCCTGCAGACTCTACAAGGGGCGGGCATTGTGCTAGCTGCTGATGTTCCATGGGCACATCAGACATTGCCCACTTCCCCTGGCACCAGTGCCCTGGGGATGGGGAGGGACAGCTGAAGACTCTGGGACCGACTTCTGCAGTCTGGAGGCCAGACGTGGGCTCTCCCATGAACCAACACTTGCAGGAAAGATGCAAGGTGTGGGCTGGAGCCAGCTCAACACTCACGTCTGGTTTTTGGAATCTCTACAGCTTCCTTTTCATATGGACAACAGGCAAACCTGTCATAGCAGCTGACTCTTCAGAGAGAAGCTGCTGGAAGGAGGTGGATCGTCCGTGTCTCTTTCTCGGGGCTCCAGCCATGGGTTTAATTTTTGCTCCTGACCAGACTGCCCACCTCTTAGCCCCGCCCTCTTTCTGGAAGGTTCTTTCCACCCTCCTTGCTCGGTGGGCCCATTCTGATCCTTCGTCTGCTTAATGCCTCTCGGGGAAGTCTGCCCGCCGGTCCTCTCTGAGAACTTCCCGTTTGCCCAGCAGCGCTGCCCTCAGCACTTAGTGAGTTGCTGGTTCTCCTGTTTGCCGTCAGCATCTCCAGCAGACATCACTGTCTCTGGTCTGTTCTACTTGCCATGCTGCACACCACAAGAGGAGGAGGTGAATGGATAAATGGGTAAGTGAACGTGTTTTTCACCAACACTGCAGCCCTTCATACTTGGCTCACATGTCTATCTCAGGTATGAAGGGCATCCATTTCAATTCAGGAGACCAAACGCTAAAAATAACACTGCAAAAGTAAGTCACTTTCACTCTTCAAAGCTGCTCGGAACAGGCTGGGTGGGAGGGTTCACCGAGTCTCCTCCCGGGTGCTGGCGTGAGGCTAAGTGTTTCCCATGTGCAGCCATGGGAAGGGGTGATATGGAGAAACTGAGGTTTAGAATTCTTCAATCACTGACCTAAAGTCATAGCCAGAAAATAAATAATAAATCACTAAATGAAAAGTCCCAGCCAGTACCGTGGCTCAGAAAAGTTCACAGGAAAGCTAGAGGTCAGACGTGAAGCCTCCGCGTTGAGTCACTGGACTCTCTGGTCCCCCGTGGCATGCCACTCTAAGTAAACGTTCTGCACCAAGGCTGTGGACGTGTACACCACTGAGCAAAGGTAGCACATGACCCTGCATCATCAGACCAGGTGGAGAAACACCACAGAGGCTTTGCAAGGTTACAGCCAGGAGGCCGTAGCCGTGAACACGAGAGCTGGGTTGGCACCCACTCACTGGTTCCTATTCACGGTGACCCCTTCTCCCACCTGGGGGTCCTATGCTGCCCGAAGGAATGAGGTCAGGAGGGCAGGAGACAGTCGGACAGATGCAGAGGAGTGTGGCCACCTCAGAAACAGGGCTGCTGGTCTCCTGCTGAACCCCCAAAGCATTAACATGCTTCTTGTCAAGACAGTGTGTAATTTATAGCAACTGGAGGTTCCTCTTGCAAGAAATCCAGGACCAGGCAAGCCAAGCGCGGTGACAGATCACAACTTTAGATGGAGACCTTGCTTTGCCTTTTTTTTTTCTGCCTTTCTTTCTTCCTTCTTTTCTTCTCTTTCTTTCTTTCTCTTTCTGTCTTTCCTTTTCTCTGTTTCTTTCTTCTTCCTTCCTTCCTTTTTCTTTCTTGGTGACAGGGTAGGAGGAGAGGGATAGGAGAGGGAAAGCTTCCCAGAGCCCTGGATGCAATCTGCCTTCTGCCCAACAGGTTGTGACTGAAGGTTCCCGTTAGTAACAAGCCTCCCTCCACAGGCAGAAAAGAACAAGAAAACGGCTTGTCCAGGCTCACACCAGACTCAGGCCTGCATTCTTCCCGCATCACAGGGAATGACTGGTTCCAGCAGTGAGAGCTGGTGTCCCCAGCTAAACCCCCAGGGGAGAGGACAGCAGTCCGGAAAAATGTGAATTATGCCTGTTGAGCAATTCTCTTCTCAAGGTTTACTTAAAGCCAGGAGGATATTTTTAGTCTACTTTGATGATATTCAGATTTTCAGAGCACTGAGGCCTAGGCTAACATTTACATATAAATATATCAAAGTGTATTTAATTATTAGTCATCTTCATACCTTTGTCCTTATGGTGCGTGAGCTGGCTGATCACACTCCCACCATGTGACCAGGGAAATGAACAAGGTGAGGGTTTAAAGAAACAAACGGGGAGGCGGAAGAGTGCGGAGGTGTTCCTGGGGTGGGGGTGAGTTTATGTTGGGTTTTAATTTGGAGAATGGTTCACTGCTGCGCAGGGGAGTACATGTCTGCAATCCCCGCTCCTGGGAAGGCTGAGGCAGGAAGGTGGTGCCTCGGCAACTCAGTGAGACCATTTCAGAATCAAATAAAAAGGGCTGGAGGTGTGGTCAGTGGTACAGTGTTTGCTTAGCATGCACGAGGCCCTGGGTTCAAAACCAGCAACACTAGAAAAGAAAAAAAGGAGCAGTTTGTTTAAATTGAAAGTTTGTAGGATGGCTGCCTCGTTCAGAAGAGAGCCCCTACCCACACTACGCCCCTGAGAATATGTGTGCATTCTCACCTACTCAGGCTCCAGATATCATGCAAATGGCTTGGAAACTTGTGTATCAGCCACAAGAATCCCAGCATTCAAAGAAACCAAGGAAGCGCTACCAAGAAACCACCTTGGAGCACGCAGAGGTCACCTGAGGGACTCACTGTGGTCCACCACGTCGGCGTGAAGCAGCAAGAGACCCCGGATTCCATGCGTGGCTCACCAGAAACGATTTAGACAATCGTGCGATGCACTTAGCAAAAGAAGACTGGACGTGATGTAACCTTCTTGAGTGACTCAGCAGGCACCTGCCAGGGTCTCTGGGTTACGGTCATGAGTTATGACTGTACCACGGGACCATAAAAGAGCTAGATGATTAAAAATAATCTTGTTGACAGAATGTAAGACAAACTCGATTCTACTGCATGTCCAGGACAGGGTTGCCAGCCAATTGCAGAATCCAGAGGGCTCGGCTCTGATGGGAAAACGGGCTTGAACTGTGGGGTGATGGGTTCCCCAATTTCCTCGTCTTCCTGAGTGAATGCTTCTCATTTTCTCTCAGTCACTGCATCTGTGGATGGATCTACAGATGTCTATGGAAGCCCACGCAGACGTGGCCACTTCCTCCTCTTGTAGGATGTCACCTGGGTCAGCGTGGGTGTGTTTATTTCTTCCTGTGTCTCTTTCTTCCCTGGGGTGAGGGTCCCTAGAAGTGGGGACTCGTATGGCACCTACATCTTTTTTTTTATTTGTGTACATGTTGGTGTGTGTGATGGTTAGTTACATCTGTCGTGGAGGATCTGTGCACACACACACACACACACACACACACACACACACACGCTTGAAGGTGTGCGAGAGTGGAGAACGCAGCAATTGTGGACAAGCAATCAGGTAGGGCCTCTGTCTCCTCCACCAGGGGTCAGTAAAACTTTTATGGGACACCCAAGATGACACCCACATTTAGGAGAGGTCCTGTTTCTTGGCCACCATTTGTCCCTCAGAAAAGGAAAACTAGAGGCTTCTGATAGAATTGCAAATTCTAGGGTCAGTCCCAGATCCAGCAAATCAGATGCTCTGGAGTCAGCACCCGGCACCCGTCTGAAGGGCCCATCAGGCGATTCTGACTCCTGCTGACATTGAGCCACTGGTCTCATGCTTCTAACTCATTTCTGCCTCAGGACATTTGAACTCGCTAGACCTTAGGCCTGGGGCACTCTGAAGGCCCCAGCAACCCTGCCTGCTGGACCTCTGAATGATGCAGAGAATGAAACTGCCAACCTACTATGTCCGGTATGAGCTTGTGTTCTCTAAAATTGAAGAATGAATTTTAGGAACACAAAGGTTAAGAGTAGAGTATATTGGCGAGGGATTTAGCTCAGCAGCATAAGCGCCTGCCTTGCAAGCAGGCAGTCATGAGTTCGATCCCTGGTACCAATGAAAAGGAAAAAGACAAAAAAAAAAAAAAAGTGTCTTCAAGAGTAGAGTATATTTATTAAGAGAAGGAAAGCTTCTGTCTAAAGAGAGACAGAAGGGGTCCTGAGCGGGTTGCCCAGGACTCTGTCTTTCCTAGGGACTTTTATAGAACAAAATCATGGGGTGAGACAGGTTCAAGGTGGGGGAAGACTGGGAACTCACAAGGCAGATGGGCATGAGGTGGGACGTAACTATAGTTAGCCAATAGGATCAATAGTTCAGGTAAAATTGATTACATTGGGGACAAATGGGGCAGCAAGTCACATAGAAAGTGGGCATTCTTAAGGAGCAGTGACTCTTCCCTAGAGGGTTGGGGTGGTGACTCCAGGCTTCCTCGGGGTGACAGGGAGCTAACCATTTAGAATATCAGTCCTTAGGATGTGGGTGCATTTGTGTGATCTTTTGTCCTGAGGCCCGGCCCACAGCAGGAGGGGTCAGTCTCCCCAGTTGCCAGGTGTCTGCTCTGCTCCACTGAGGCCCAGCCCTGTCTGGCTGCCTGTAATATTTCTAACCAACTCAGTTGCCTGCAACAGTGGGACATCCCCTCGCCACAGAGACTTCCCCACCTAGCCCTTTACGGTCAGCCTCCCTGGTTTCTTCACCCCGGTCTATGGCGTTGTCTCTGGAAGCTCTCCACTGAACGATCAGAAATTACCTGATCCTGGTCCGTTCACTTGTTATTCATCATCCGACTCCTCCAGGTGAATGACAGCAGATGCTCCTGTCTTCCATACCACTCTGCCCTATACCTATGTACCCAGCACATAGTAGGTCCTTAACAAAAAGTTTCCCCGATTAATGTGCAGGAGAGTTTTTATTATCATTGTTGTTGTTGTTAGCTGCCTTGAAGAGGGAAGACAAATTCAAAGGCAGGTGCAGTGCTGTGGGCCGGCCTTGCATGAAGCTCGAAGCTGAGGATCCATTCTAAATGCATCCCTTGAAAATCTGCTGCCCTAGGGCTGGCTGGTCCATCAGACCCTCGGGTCTTTGCCAGGCTGGGTTTGTTTCCCAAGAGCAGCAGCATCTGCAGACAGCTCTGGAATCACTGCTGGGGATGCAGGTGGATATGGGGGCTGGGGAAGAGGCAGGACTGCTCCTTACCACAAGGGATGAGCAGACCTAGCTGGCAATGGTGCCCAGGTCCAGAATGCTGACCTTGGCCTTGGCCTCCTGCTCCTCTCTGACCCTACACTCCCCGCTCCTCAGCACGTATACTGTAAGGACCAGCGGTGCCAGACCAGGTGCACAGTGAGGTTCACCTAAGGAGTGGGAAGGACCTGCTGGGTCCCCCTGAGCCTGAGTCTCAGTGCCCTGTGTGTCATGGCTGAGGAGGACCGTGGCTGTCGTGGTCACCTCAGGAGGAACCCTGGCCTGGGACTCCAGAGGTGCCGGTGGCGGCCCCCTCACCTGGCCCTTGATTAATTCCCTGCGGCCACCATCCTCCTCCCCTGCTTAGGTTCACTCTCCTGTGTTAGTGCACGCAGGAGAAGCCACTGCTCCTCTCACCGCTGGTGTCCCGCAGATGTACCCAGCACCTCTTACCCTTCCTGGCCTTCTTCCCTGCCCTCGCACCCTGCCCCTAACTCCCCACTTGCACAAGATCTGTCTCTCTGTCTCATTTAATTTAATTTTTGTCTTCTTGAGATAGAGTTTCACTCTGCAGTTCAGGCTGTAGCCCAGGCTGCTCTGGAATTCCCAAGGATCCTCCTGCCTCAGCCTCCCAAGCGCTGGGATTACAGACATGCACCACCATGCCTGGCTTTCCTGTCTCCTTTATCTGCCGTCCAGTTGTCTAGTCATACTCTTGGCTTCTCAGATAAGAGAACCCACTTGATCCTGAACTGTCCGCTGGGTCTGATTTATGTCCCGTGACATGATGGTTTCTTGGCGCCTCTGTTTTTCCACAGATGACTCCAGCTGGTCTGCTTTGTGGCACAGTGATACCCCACTTTATCCACTCACCTCGTGGTGCACACGTGGGCCGCTTCCAAGGCTTAGCTCTGGGGAGTTGTAGGACTGTGACCACGAGAGAGCGTGGACTTCAGTCATCTGATGCCTTCCAGGCTTCTGAGAAGATGCCTGGGGGGCCCTAATTGGGCGATCCGGGTGTCTATATTAGGTCGTTTGAGGCCTCTCCGTGCTGAGGCCCACGGAGGTTGCCCCAGCCCACACTCCCACCACAGCGGAGCAGGGTCCTTCCTCCCCACCGCCCTGCCGGGAGCACTTGTTATAGATTGCTGCCTTTATGATGGCCCCCCTTTCAGGCCAAGATGAAACTTTGGGCTGCTTCAGTTGGGGTTTCTGTGGGGGCCATCGGCGTCCAGTATCTTCTCAGGTATCTGTGGGCCGTGTTCTTCCTCTGGGTGCTTACTTCTTGCTCCACCTCCTCCCTCGTTCCCCCTCCTTGGTCCACGTGGGCGATGGTGACTCTCACCTAAAGGATCCCAGATGTCGGACCCTGCAAGTCTGAGCCCGGCCCTCAGTCCCTGCTGGCTGCAGGGAAAGATCTGGCCCTGGGCTCCGATTCTGCCTTGGCATCAAGCTCCCCAAGTCCGCTGGGCTTTCCCTAAGAACCCAGCTGCTACCCTGTCACATGTCATCTGAGTGACACTTTATGAAGATTGATTGGGTATATTCACCACCATTTAAACATTTACTAATTCTGGCGTTTCAATATGTTTTCCAATTTTGGACTCGTCTTTTTCCCAATGGAAATGTAATCATAGACCTTTGAAAAATCATTTGTGTCTGGGGTGCTGTGTATAGAAAAAGGGACGTCTGACAGGCAAGATGTACACACCTAGAATCCTAGCTACTCGGGAGGCTGAGGCTGGAAGACTGCGAGCTCAAGACCAGCCTGGGCAACTTGGTCAAACCCTGCTTCAGAATAAAAAATAAAATGGGTGGAGGGTAATAACTGAGTGGGGAGGGCCCTGGGTTTGAGCCCTGCTCTACATTTAATCTCCAGTATAGAAAACAAAAAGAAAGAGAAGGAGAAAGAGAAAGAGAAAGGAGAGAAAGAAAGAGGTTTTAGTTTCCTGTGTGCCTGTGAAAGCAGGGGAGTGTTTTCTAGGACTCCCACGCCAAACATTCCCATTTTTGCCTTATAGACAATGGGATCGAATTAATTAATTAGCTGAACAAATAGGAGTTTAGTGACAGACACTATAGTTGCTGGTACTGTATTGGAGAATAGAAAACCCAAGCTCCTGCCCCATGGAGCTCACACTGGAAATGTAACAGATAAATAAATTAACAAATCGGCATACAGTCTGCCAGGTGTTGATTGGTGTTAAGGAAGAAAATAAAATAGCACAAGGGGCTAGGAGAGTGGAGAAGGTGCCGCTGTTTGATTTAGGTGGTCTCTAGAGAAAGCTAATCTGAGAAGAGACTTGAAGCCAGTCAGGAAGCATTCCCTGTGGATACAGAGAGCAGACTGGCAAAGGCAAGCATGTGCAGAGGTCCTGGGGCAGGAGCATGTTTAGCATAAGTGAGGAACAGCAAAGTCTCCAGCTGGGCTGGAGAAGAGAGAATGGCCTACCTAGGAGAGGCAGAGGCCATGAGCAAAGGTCTGCGTGATTTTTTAGGTTATTGCAAGGATGAAGAGAGCCAGGCACCCTGCAGGACTCCAAATAGAGGAGGTACAGGACCTGAGGCATTGCTGGTGGATTTACAGTGGAGTCACCTGCACTCCATCAAGCCATTCTCAGGATTCCTAGTGAAAGGAGCAGAATGAGGTCACACATGTCTGAAATCCAGCCTCTGGCGGGACAAGAGAGTTGTGAGTTCGAGACCAGTCTGGGTTCTACAGCAAATTCAAAGCCAGCTTCGGCTTCACGGCGAGGCCCTGTCTCAAAATGTCACATGTCAAAAACTAAATATCCTCTACTCAAATGAGAGACTAAGGCTGGCTTCAAGACACTTCCTGTGAGGTCTTTCTTATTTGTATACTCCAGCTTTACTGGGTCATAACTAACGAATTAAAATTATATACACTTCTTCCTGGATATGGAGGTGCTGGAGGCTGAGGCTGGAGGATCACGAATTTGAGCCCAGCCTGGGAAATTTAAAATTGTGTGCATCTAAGATGTGGATCATGGTAATTTGATACACATGTACATTATGAAGCAACGACCATAATGAAGCTAATCAACGGACCTGTCGCCTCACAGTTACCTTCCGTGTGTGTAGTAGACAGCACTTAGGATAGACTGTCTGTACCCTTTCCAGGCACAGGTGGGCTCTGAACTTATTTATGGTGGTTTTGACTTAATGAATTCCAGAGCCCATGAAGGACAAAAGAAATACATGTGTGGAGGAAGCCACTCCTTGAATTTTGAGTTGTGACATTTTGGGGAGATACAGATAAGCAGTAAGATACTCCTTTGAGGTGCTGGCAGCCCATGAACACAGGGTGACCAGCCGGTCCCCACTGCGTCCTTGGGGGCCAAGCTGCGATAGTCCCTCTGGTGAGTGGGTTCGGGGCAAAAAACCCTGTCATAACTGAAGGCCACCCAGTGTGGTGTTAGTGATACAGACAAGAGGGCAGGACTGACTCACTCTAAAGCTTGCATTTATTTTATTTATTTAGTAAGAAGGGTCTCATATATCTTGGACTGGTCTTGAATTCACTATGAAGTCCAATCTGGCCTTGAACTTGTGACCCTCCTGCCTCAGCCTCCTGTGTGCTGGGACTATGGGTGCGCATCACCATATTTGAGGGCACTATGGTTATTTTAGTTCATGTTTGCAACATATAGTGATTGCATTCATGGTGGGGAGCTGGTACATTTGCCTAATACAACTTACATCTTTTTTTGTCCCTTTTTCTCCTACCTCTGTGTCTTTACCTTTTTCCCGTTTGCATGAGATATATCTTCCTATTTCCTTTTATCTATCTTTTCTTTTCTTCTTTAGTTGGTTTGTACTTTGGGTTACTCAAATGAGAAAAAATGTATGGCATTTGAGCTTGTGTATTTGATTTATTTCACTTAAATTTATGTTTTTGAGGTGCATCTATTTTTGTACAAGTGTCTCAAATTTACCCTTGTTTATAGCCAAGTAGTATTCCATCATGCATAGAAACAACATTTTCTTTATCCATCTGTCGGTAGACACACAGGCTGCTTCCATTTTGACACAGATTCTCACTATGTAGATCAGACTGGCTTTGCATGCACTAAGTAGCCAAGGCTGGCTTCAAACTCCTGACAATCCTCCTGCCTCAGTCTCCCCTGTATAGGGCTCACAGCCATGGGCTGCCATGGCTGGCTTTCCTCTTGTCTCTTGACCATGGCCACTGTAGTATTTATGAGGTGGCAGCTCACTGTGGCTTTAATTTGTTCTTCTCCAGTGATGAGTAATGTTGATCACCATTTCATACGCCCATCAGGACCTTTTACCTGTCTTCTGAAAGCATATACATGTGTATATATATTTGGCTATTGCATTGTTTGAATTTATATTTGGGATATTAATCCCTTATATGATGTGTGGTTTGCAAATATTTTTATTTCACATGTTGTCTTTTTATCTTATCTCCTTTGCTGTACAGACAGTGTAGTTTGATGTGGACTACTTGTTTCTTTTTGCTGCGATAGTTTTGGGGTCTCTCTCTGTCTCTCTCTCTCTGTATTAGGAATTGGACCAGGGCCTTTGCACTGAGCTACATTTCTAGCCCTTTTCTAATTCTTTTTTCAGAGACAGACACTTGCTCAGCTGTGTACTCTGGGCTCTAACTTGCTGAAATTCCAGGTATGCACCACCAAGCTGACATCTTTTTTTGCAAGCTGTTCGAGGGCTGTGAAATTGAATTCTATTCATTCATTCATTCATTCAAGCCAGTGGTTGACTCCAACTAAATGCCAGGAACTACCCCAGGGACCTGGGGACTTGGGGTGACCAGGACAGTGAAGAAACAGATTAAAATAGCAATGAATAAATAAATAAAGATCTCAACTGGTGAACAGAGCTAAGGCCTCACACACAGAGGACACACTGAGATGGGTTGGCAGAAACTTTTTATTACTTTGAATTTTTAAGTGAGATACTCAGATTCAGAGGGATCACGCTCATGGCTGGGGTTGAAGCCCAGGGTCTCCTAAGTTCGCCTGCTCCTGGCCGCCCCGGCCCAGAGCCCTTGCTCACATGTGGTTTCAATCACTGCATTTATCTGCCCCGTTGTCATGGTCCTGGGAAGATGACCACATCTGTATTCCTGTCCAAACAGTGCAACATCAAATCTGGAAAAGCTGCCTCCTCCTCAGCAGGTCAGACCTAGGGAGAGGCCTCAGGAATGTACAGTAATGCTCCACTCAAGCCCCTAAAGCAGATCTGAACAAACCAACTCCTAAAACTTTCCGCTCCATCACTTCACTGGGCCTGGTCAGAAGTTGGGCCTTGGTCCACAGCCAGCTGGGGTTCCTGTGGCCCCGGGGGAGCAGGGAAGTTGTTTCCAGCTCTGGGTCTATCCCTGAATAAACAGTCACTAAACAGCGGCTGCCCCAGGCAACTGCTGCTCTGGGAAGGGGGTAGACCAGGGAGCCTGGCCCTGACCTCACAGAAGCTGCGGGGCCCAGCCCATCTTCGTGGGCCTGGACGCTCCTTAGAGAGGCTCAGGGATGGGGTGGGGACTGGGAACCAGCTGGAGGAGGACCACCATCACACACAGATTGTCACCCATCACTAAGACGTCTTTCCCATTTCTTTATTAGTGCATATTTGCAGTGTGTAGTGATCACATTCCTTGCGGGGAGACGGCGGTATAACTCATCTCAATTCTTCCCTTCAGCCCTTCCCCTCCTCTCTCCATCTCTTGGTTCCTTGCCCATTTGCAAAAGATGTGTCTCTGTTTCCCACTGTGCAGCCTTTATTTTGCTCTTTATTTATATTTCGGGCTGCTCACATAGGGGAAACCTTGGGATATGTATTTAAGCTCCCACGGGCCAGCTGGGTGGGGGACGCCGGCCGGAAGGAGGGGCTGGGGATGGCTGCACAGGTAGGCAGACAATGGGCTTGGAGGAGCTGTCTCAGCACACAGCAGACATGGAGAACTGGAAGGCTTTCTCCCGATCGCGGTTATTTCTGGGGATTAGGAAATCCCTGCGGGAAAGCCAGAAAACGGACGGGCCCGGTAGGGACACCAGGGCGCCTGGTCAGAGCACACGCTGGGCCAGGAGGGCAGCGAGAGGGCGGGAGAGGCGTCCCGGGCCCGGGCTGCTGGCTGTCCCCACGGCTCCCGGGGGCGCCCCGCCTCCCTCGCCGAGCGCCCCCTCCAGGAGCGCGCTTCCCCAGCCGGCCGCCCGGGCACTCGGGTCCTCGGGGCGCACGTCCCGAGCGGGGCTGGGCGGGTCGCCGCTCCCCTTCCCGGCCACCGCGTCCCCGCACGGCCCAGGCCGGATCCCGGGCCCGGCGCGCCGAGGGGGCCGCGGAGACGTGGAGCAGGGAGCCCGGCCCGGGCGCGGCGGGGCCCGGGTCCCGCCCTGGGCCGCGCGATCGCCGAGCGCCCCCGCGGGTGAGCGAGCGAGCAGCCACCAGGACGCCCCGGGGTCCCCGCGCGGCGCCGGCGCCTCGGTCCGCCCGCGGCCGCTTATGAATGGGCGCAGCGGAAGCCCCGCCCCCGGACGTGACGCCCGGCCAATGGCAGCGCGGGCTGCGTGGATGGATGAGGTCAGCGCCGTCGTGTCGGGAATGGAATGTGTGAGTGGAACATTCAGAACCGGGTAACGCGCGGCGGCGGCGGGCGGGCGCGGCGAGCGCGCGGGGCCTGCGGAGCACGGCGCGGGGCGGCACAGCCGTGGGGACGACGACGCGACACCGCCGCCACCAGCCGGGCCGCCGCGTCCCCGGGCGCGGGGCGGGGCGCGCGCGGGGGTGAGTGTGACCGGGGGGCGCTCGGGGCCCGCGATCGATCGCCGCGCGGAGTCCGCCCCGCCGGAGTCTCGGAGCCGCTGCAGCCGCGGAGAAGGAGCGATGCAGGGATTCGTGAGGTTGCGGCGCGCCGGCTGCAGGATGCACTGACCCCGGCGGCGCCGGCTGACTTGTTGGAACCGCGGGCAGCGCGGGGGAGCGTGCGGGGAGTTGGAGTTGCTTTTTCCCGGGGAGCTGCTCTTCCTCCACGCCGCCGGGAGCCATCGGAGAGGAGAGGCGAGGCGATCCCCGGGCTCTGGCCGCTGATCGGGCGATCGGGAGCTTTTTAAAAATTTCTTTTTGTTATTACTATTATTTGTCCTGCTCCTTCCTTCTCCTCCTTTCTGCCTTTTCCCAGGCTGCTCTCTTTCTTTTGCCTCCGTCTTCTTGTTGCATGCAAGAAAATTACAGCCCGCCGCCTGCTGCCCGCCCTGCCCGGGTGCGAGATTTTTCAGCAGCCCGGCGCTCCCTCCGCACCGCCGTGCTCCCCGCGCATTGTGCAACCCGACGATGAGAGACCGGAGGGGAGAAAGTTGAAGAAATCGCCCCCATGCGCTGGATCAGCCCGCGGCTGGGGGAACGGCGTGCAGAGAAGGTGCGAGCGCAGAGTTTGAAGTCTTTGCAGGCGGGAAG